AATACAGTGACAAGACTCCTTACTTGGTCCTGCCTTAAAGGCACTTCCTTCAGGGAATTCCATGAGTAACTCTCCCGCCCCCGCCTCCACGTGGTCCTGAGCCACAGGGGAGCCCCCCTCCGTGACACCCCGGAGGAGGCCCTCAGCGTGGCGGTGGTCGAGGCGGCCGCCACATTTCTCAGCCACACGTTTGTACCCGATGGTCGTGAGCTCAGGCTTTTCTTTTTAAATAAATGTTTAAAGGCATACATTTCGGGTGTGAGAAGCCTCATGCGTTTGTGGTATTGATCCTTCGACGCCTCCAGGCACTACCGTGAGCGTGACCCCGTGGGCAGCGTCCCAGTTTAAACGTCTTTACAGCACATGACACAGGTACCCATGATGCCGCTGGCCAGCGGCTCTACTCTGGTGTCAGTGCAGGCCTTCCCTTCCGGAAACTTCTACTCATCTGTTGAGACCGGAATCTGGCCTGGTTTAACCCGGGAGACAGGCTGAGGGCGATCTGCTAAGGGTCGACATCAAGAACCCCCATTAGAAAAGATGACGCAACTATGTTACGTGCATTTTACCACAATTACAAATAAAACACTTCGCCCTGGCTGGGGTGGCTCAGTGGATAGAGCGTCGGCCTGCGGACTGAAGGGTCCCAACTTTGATTCCGGTCAAGGGCACAGGCCTGGGTTGCGGGCTCCATCCCCAGTGTGGGGCGTGCAGGAGGCAGCCAATTGATAATTCTCATCATGGATGTTTCTCTCTCTCCCTTCCTCTCTGAAATCAATAAAAATATAACAAAATAAAAATAAAAATGTTTTAAAAAGTTGCTCAGGAATCCATTCACACTGCAATGCGTTTATTAACCTTCTGCAGGCTCAACGTTATCTTTCTGAACGTGTTTCCCAAGTTCGCTCAGCAATACTATTCTTGGTCTTGACACTTGGATGACATCTGAGGACGTTGCAGATGCAAAGGAAAAAATGTTATGAGACACAGCGGACTTTTTGGAGGTTTTGAAGAGTCCCATGAAGTTAGTTACAGGAGGCAATAAGGTCAAGGAATCTCGGGGTTGAATTTTCGGTCTTAGCTTTCTTCGGTGCTCTCTCCCTAAGAAGTAAGAGCCACAGGTAAAGGTCTGAGCCTCGGGATATCGCCACAGCCTCCTTCCCTTAGTTCTGCATCGTTCCGCTTCCTTCCCATTCCAAACACACGAAGAGACAGCTCAGCAGCTTCCAGGCTTTCATGTCACCGGGGGCAGCCACACATATGGTGGCCGACTTTTTACTGTGCCAAGTTGGCACTAACAAAGGACCAAGTGTCAACTGTTTTAAATATGCTTTTGTGAAAGAAGGGATAGTGTAACACCAAAAGACAGTGTCAAAGGCGTTCTCTCAAAGGGATGGCCTTCCCCTTGAATGACATTAACTTTGTCCACAAACTCTCTCCATTGTCCACATCTTTTCCTATGTCGCCACACACCTGCAAAAGCGTCATCAGCCTGTGCCTGGCACCCAGGCTGTTTGGAAATCAATACTAAAGTAAAGAAAGAATGAGGCTGACGAAGGAGCTGTGCCCGCACCAGACATCCTTTCACCCCGATAGTCGGAAATACAGCTTCCCCTCCGCCCACCTCTCGCTTCCCGCAGATGGAGTCAATGAGGCTCGTTCTCCTCCTCTTGTTCTCTCTCCTCTTCTCTCCCTTCCCACCCGTGACGGGAGCACAGGGACCTCTGAATGGCCCGCCCTTGCTTTCCCCTGTGGGGCAGTGACCACACCGAGCAAGACGGAATCTGGCCCTCCACCAAGCACACTCGAGCAAGCACTAAGCTAAACGTGAAATCAACAAGCCGTTTTTCCTGGCCTCTGTCTACGGGGCCCGGATGGGTAGCATTATCAGGTCTGGACTTGGGTCTCCAGGGCATCCCCCCACTGTGTGTGACACTGTACGGAGGATAAGGGAAAGGTGGGCTGTGCCCTAGGAATTCACGAGACAAGGTGTACACGGCACAGAACAATAGCAAGGGCGTGGCTGAGTCATACTTACTAGGTACTAGTACGTGCTGTTTCCGTAACGACCTAGCACTGTGCGTGGCTTGTGAGAAAGGGCGAAGGAGGAGGAGTTCCTGCCGACTGGTGTTGGGAAGGAAGGCCGTAAAGTGTCAGCCCGGCCGGTGTGGCTCAGTGCCTGAGCGCTGACCTATGAGCCAGGGCACATGCCCGGGTTTTGCGCTGGATCCCCAGTGTGGGGTGTGGAGGCAGCCAATCAATGATTCTCTCTCATCATTGATGTTTCTATCTCTCTCTCTCTCCCTCTCCCTTTCTCTCTGAAATCAATAAAAACATATTTTTTAAAAAAGAAATGTGTCACATTGGCTTATCCATGGGAAGATATGTTAGGTGTACAGCATTCCAAACAAACGCTTGCAGGCCGCCTTTTCAGTAGCCCCGCCTTTTTGAATTTTTATACATGGAACAAAGGATTACAGAGTGCCAGGGCCAGAAGGCACCCCGGAGAGAAAAGAAAAATCAATTACCTTTTCTGGAGAGAAGATTTATGCATGGCCCTCCGTTTTTCTCCAGACTGAAAGGGAAAACATTTTCGTCAAACTAGAAACATATAGAGAGGCTGCGTAGCACGTTCCACATCTAGTGGTCTAACTTATTCAGGTCGCCGGTAGTGTTTTATATTCATTGACTCACTCAGCACACTGGAAACACTGAATCTGCTTGAAGGGATCGAGGAAAGCTTTGGGGGCACTTGGGCCGGGTTTTGAAGAAAATAGGTCTTCAGGGGGATGCGGTGGGGCGTGCCCCGGGCAGAGGGGAGGGGTGAGGGATCACAGTGCTGAGAACAGGACAGCAGGGCGGCCAGAGGCACTGCACAGTCTGCTGCGCTTAGAAGTAAAGGTATCTGGGACGTGACAGGAGACGAGGTTGGAGAATAAAGATCAGGCCATTCTGTGTATTAAGAATGAGAACATGTAGCCGGGCTGGTCGCTCAGTGGTTGAGCATCGCCCCATGCACCAAAGGGTCGCTGATTTGACTCCCGGTCAGGGCACATGGCCAGGTTTGAGCTCCATCCCCAGCAGGGGGCGCGCAGGAGGCAGCTGATTGATGTTTCTCTCTCATCAATGTTTCCCTGTCTCTTCTACCTCTCCCTTCCTCTCTAACAAATCAATAAAATGTGTTTTAAAAAGAATGATAAAATGTCAACTTTAAAGTAATGGGGTACCAGTGAAGTGTTTTAAGTCAAATAATAACGTGTACCTGAGTTAATGTGTGTGTGGGGGGGGGAGGTGCTGTGGCTTAAAAATAAGTATTATTTTAATCACCATCCTGTACAGATAACCTATAAATGTGGTATTGCAAAAACGTCCTGGTAATAAAATGTAAGTCTTGATTAAAGTTAAGAGATAAAAGTGTCCCGAATGCATTCCTGATTACTCTGATGAGGAACATTTGCTGTTTCCTCCTTTAATGAGGCAACTTCATGGCTACTGGGTGGTAATGAAACCAGCTAGTGTTAGTCTCCTCTGTTCTCATGGCGGGTCCGTTAACCATGTCTCCCTCCACACTTCAAAATGGACGCGTCCAAGGGCTCCTCTACTATCCCGTTCTTGGTGTGGATGGGGGCATGGGAACAGAGAAGAGGTAGACACTCAAAACAAACAAACAAACAAGCTGTTATGATCCAACCACGATCGATCTATCTCTGTTCCCGGCAGTGCTATCAAGGAACGTTCTGTGGAAGGACATGTTTATCATCCCAACGTTCCCAGGCTTGTCTCAGTGATCTTTTCACGCCTTTCCCATCGTGTTATGTAAACCACACTCCTTTTCAGGGTTGTTACGAGAAATAAAGCTGATAGTCCATGTAAACGCTCTAAGGCAGTGGTTCTCAACATTCTGGCCCTTTAAATACGGTTCCTCATGTTGTGACCCAACCATAAAATTATTTTCGTTGCTACTTCATAACTGTAATGTTGCTACTGTGATGAATCGTCATGTAAATATCTGATACGCAGGATGGTCTTAGGCGACCCCTGTGAAAGGGTCATTGTACCGCCAAAGGGGTCGCGACCCACAGGTTGAGAACCGCTGCCCTAAGGAGGGTGCATAGCACTATTGGTGATGGGTTAACTGTTATTTGCCCAGCAGTTTCACCATTCTGACCAGTTTACCGACTTTTTATAATCCTGAGAGTTGAGTGTTTACAACGACAGGGGGTGCCATTCGCCTCAGTCCTCTTAGATTAGTGTAGTTACTACAATTCCCCAGCAGATGGCAGACAAGTGTCCTGAGGGAGGGTTTTCATTTTTGTGTTTTTTTTTTAAGTAATTCCCAAAAAGTTGCCTTATGGACTGGCTGAGGGAGGGACTATTAAATAGTAGTTCCGTCACTTATCCTAAATTATTTTCAACCAGCAAACATTACTTTCTAACGCTGTCAATGATAGCCATTGCCATTTCGATGTCCCTGGCTGTTTAGGTACAATTAGGGAACGGGCTTTAGGTGTCCGTTTTCCACAGCATCGCAGGTACCGTGACTCTGAGGAGGCCCTCAGTTTTCTCTATTCTTAAACCTGATGTTTAGAGCCAAGCCGATCCCCTCTCCTCTGTGATTGCAAAGTTCGTAACACATCCTGCCAGGATCGTTGCCTGCGTGTGAGCAGCGCTGCTTGCACAGGAGGCTTGTAATTCCACTCATGCCCAGAAGGAACCATGCCTGGTGTCAGGCGCCTCTCCTCTCTCTTTCAGAAATGCAAGTTCACCATGAAACTCCCACACGGGTGTGAAACCCTCGGAATAAATGCCGGGCCTGATGTGACCTCGCTTTGGGTCATTCCCGAAGTCCCACTGGAGGCCAAGTTCCCGGCGGTGGTCCTCAGAACTCTCAGTGTACCCCAGTCCACCCCAAAATGGCTCCCTGGATCAGACCTGGAGGCAACCAGGCTCCCCAAAACTTTTCTGAAATGCGAATTACCCTGGCCAGGCAGGAGCCCCAAGATGCGGCTGCATTCGTGTCTGCACTCGCTGCTGCTCGGGGAGAAGTGAAACAGGCTTTGGCGATGGACGTTCATAATGAACTCGTCCTTGGGTGTCTGAGGCACAGATTCCTAGCACGGGAGTGCCCTGCTCTGACCTTCCTTACACGTCGGTAAAAGCTCCTCTATCAGTCTCCTCACTCCTGCCCCTTCCCGGATGCGCACCATACCTTAAGGAAGGGAGTCCCACTTTTTGCTGCATTCTAAATTCCTTCAAGAACGCCGGGTTAATACTGGCATCTCTGCTGATGCTGTTTATTATTCGAAGGAACTGATTCGGCTTATTCCTGCACTCGCTCAGCAGGATGCGGAAAGCAATCGCGTTGTAGGTCAGGTAGCCGAGCGCGCAGGAGCAGGCTGTGCGCACCTGCAGGAGGAAGACACAGTCCGTCACCAGTGAGCTCTGCTCTTAAAGGGCCCACGCCAGCGCTCAGTAGATACAGGACAGTCCCTGGAGCTAATGCCAGCACATGTGCATGCCAACCGATGGCAGCAACAGCCATGCTTTTATTTATTTGTTTTTATTTACTTATTTACTTTTATTGATTTTAGAGAGAAAGGGAGAGGGAGAGGGAGAGGGAGATAGAAACATCAATGATGAGAGAGAATCGTGGATCAGCTGCCTCCTGCACGCCCCACACTGGGGATTAAGCCCACAACCCAGGCATGTGCCCTGATCGGAATTGAACCCGGGATCCTTCAGTCCACAGGTTAACGCTCTATCCACTGAGCCAAACCAGTTAGGGCTCACAGCCAGGTTTTTATTATTTTTTAAAATAATTATTTCTTGTTGAAAGTATTACATATGTCCCCTTTTTTTCTCCCATTGACCCCCTCCAGCCCCCCCCACCCCCCCCACCCCGCTGCCCCATTATCTGTGTCCATAGTCACAGCCAGGCTTTGAGAGGGGGTGTCAACTGCCATTGATTTCTAGTTGTTCTCAGTCCTGCCTGCATTTTAGAATCACCAGGAGGTTTTTGTTTTAAGCCCATCAACCAATCGGCTCGAGGGTGGAACCTGGCCTGTATGTTGTTAAAGTGCCACAGAGAATTCTAATGTGCAGCCAGAGGCAGGGCCCTGGGGGCTGAACGAAGGCAGTGGCCCTCAGTCTTGCTGGTGCATCACTGTCACCTGGATAGCTATGAACATGACTCAGCCTGGGGTCCATCCCCAAAACCGATTTTATTATATTGGGGTACAGCCCCTAGACATTACGATTTTTCAAAACTGCTTAGGTGACTGTCATAGGAAACCAGGTAAGAGCCTACAGTATAGAAGTAGGTTAAAATTAATGCACTTGGGCCCTGGCCAGTTTGGCTTAGTGGTTGGAGCATCGGCCTGTGGACTGGAGGGTTATGGATTTGATTCTGGTCAAGGGCGCATACTTCGGTTGTAGGCTCGATCCCACTTGTAGAAGCAACCAATCGATGTGTGTCTCTCACATTGATGTTTCTCTCTCTCAGTCTCTCCCCCTCCCTTCCACTCTCTAAAAAAATCAATAGGAAAGAATGCCTCTGGTGAGGATTAGCAAATAATAATAATAATAATAATAATAATAATAATAATAATGTGCTCGGGAAAGCAACTACATTTTCCTTTATCAAAAACAAGCAAGAACAAGCATCAGGCCATAGGACACATGAAAAGTCATTTCTTTCCTGGAAGGAAGTAGTACCCTCTGCCTGTGACCTTGGGATAATGAGGCTATGATGAAGTATTAATCATAATTAATAAATATGATTAATTAATATGTACTGCTGAGAAAGATAGAAGCATCAATGATGAGAGCGAATCATTGATGGGCTGCCTCCTGCACGCCCCACACTGGGGATGGAAAATCTGTTAGTGGTGGCATAAGAAATGTCATGGAGTAAATATGAACCCCGCCCTTGCTGGGTACCAGAAGCTGACACACTGGGCTTGCCATTGGCATCTGACTGCCCAGGCGTCTTCCACACCTGGACAGCGGATCTTAGTACGTGGTCCCTGGAACAGTCGCTTCGGCTCCTGGGAACTTGTTAGAAATAAATGCACATCCTGGGGCCTGCACGGAGGCATTGGATGGGAAACTCTGGGAATGGAGCCCAGCCATATGGCTAACAGGTTCCCCTGGGTGCCCCAGTGCACCCCAATGTTGGAGAAGCACTGCCTTAGACCTTGGGGGGAAGCGCAGGGGAACACTCAGAGGCAAACCACCACTGGCCAGCCTCGCCTTCCTCACACACCCATCCTCATCTCGAACCCTGCTTGGCAGATGAGGAAAACTGTCCAATGGATTCCATTTTCATTCATTCCAGAGAATCATAGAAATGACAGTGAAGTCATAAAATGGTGTGGGATATTGTATAAAGATTCTAATTACAAGTTCGGTATCATCAGTGTACTCATTGGTAGATTGAATCTTAACTATCAAAGATAAAACAAGTTTTCCCATGTTGTGGGGACGGGAATTACGGGTGGCGGGTATAGTTCTAGACAAACCATCTCAGGCTGTGTTAGGGACATGAACTGTTCTGTAACTCCGTCAACCTGTGGGGAAATCAGCCCACAGAGATGAGAGGGAGGCAAATTATAGTCTCAGAACATTCTGTTTTAGAATTACTTTTTGTTTGTTTTTTTAATATATTTTTATTGATATCAGAGAGGAAGGGAGAGAAAGATAGAAGCATCAATGATGAGAGCGAATCATCAATCAGCTGCCTCCTGCACGCCCCACACTGGGGATGAAGCCCGAAACCCGGGCATGTGCCCTGACCGGGAATCGAACTGGGACCTCCTGGTTCATAGGTTGATGCTCAACCCCTGAGCCATGCTGGCTGGGCTAACATTACTTTTGATTTTACCTCTTCTTTTCCGGAGTACAGATGGTAGCAGAGCCGCTGGACTGTCCCTAATGAGGCGAACGCCGCTGGAATCCCAGCTCTGGAGTGAGCCAGGCTGGCTATTAAGTTCCCTACAAATTAAACGAGAAAAAGGCTTTGTTCTATGGATAAGCTGTGCTCTTGGTTATCTGCACATAATATTAAAAACGTCTGAGTCATAAGACATGTCTGCTAATGAAGTGCTGAGAAAAAGTATTTATATTTAGAATAAATTTTCCCCAAATTATGGTCTGGGTTCCTGTCACAAACAGTGCAAGTGAAGCAGGTTATGTAAGAGAGGGGACGCCTGAAAGTCCGAGGTTTTCTTCCCAGGACAGCACGTCGAGGTTCCTCTGCTGCCTTCACGTGGCCCATTTCAGCTAAAGAGCAAATACCTTATTTATTTATTTATTTATTTATTTATTCATTCATTCATTCATTTACTAGGGGCCCAGCGCGAGAAATCGCGCGAGGAGGTGCCCCGCCTCCCGCCTCCCCTGACCCCAGGGCGCCGGGCCCGAGAGGTGCTCCAGCACCTCCTGCTGAGCGGTCCTTACGGCGTGAGGGCATGACGTTCATTTGCATATGAGCTTTTTATTATTAAGATTTCTGGTAGTAGTTCCTCCATCGGGCTGTTATTCTGCTACTGTTCCATGTCATGTTGAGAGTGATATATGAAGTCAATGACTACTTATTGATCATCTGGGGAGTTGGATCTGGACTCGATACAGTAACGTGGTTAGCATGGTGTCGAGACCGCTCTTTGGCCCCCTTGTCTTGCTGTACCACAGATCAGTGTAGGGAACCCTTCACTGTTAGCAAAACATGTGTCATTGGTCAAAAGGAAGCCAGACGCAGGGGCATCGGCACAAATCTGTCGCTACTGTCAGTCAGTGTGTGCATGCTCTTATTGGTAGCTCAGAGTTGAATTCTCATTTTGAATTCTGGAAAAAAGAAGGAAGGGTTTGAAAACGTAGTTAAATCCAAAAGGCCGTGTTCAGAGTTTCTGCTCCTCGTTGGGGTGCAGAATAGACGGGCATGTTCCCCTGTGGACCCAGGCTTCCAGCTGCGTGACAGAGTGTCGGGCTGATTTCTTTACTCGGGCTCAGGTTACAGAAACGTGTTTGCGCAACTAGTTTTAGGCAGCTACAATTAGATGCTAGTCATTTCTTACCTGTCAAGACAATCGTGGTGGACTGAAGGGAATACAGACTATCAATCAGAATAGTAACTCCTCTTGAAGACAAAGTGATATGGTCCACATCTATGATGACTTTAGCTAATATAATAATCTACAAACAAAAAAGAAGCAAAGAATCATTGAGCATCTTCTATTCAGCCTCGCTGATTAAGCTTTTATTGATGCATTGATTTATTGATTTGGTACATCTCAGGGAGGTAAGAGGAGTAATTTGGCATGACTGACTAGAAGAGAAGCAAAAAAAAAAGGGGGGGGGAGAAAAGGGAGAGAAGCAAGAGGCAGGAGTAGGAGTTAGAGTGCTTGGCCCTATCTGGTCATTTTAGTGACCATGGGAGGCCATAGTATTCTTTCTACAATGTTTGTAACTTTTATATCCTTGAAGTAGGGTTCATATGAAAAGCTTCTCGTCCCAGCCAGTTTGGCTCAGTAGATAGAGTGTCAGCCCGGGAACTGAAGGGTCCTGGGTTCGATTCTGGTCAAGGGCATGTACCTTGGTTGCAGGCTAGATCCCTGGCTCTGGTTGGGACTTGTGCAGGAGGCAACCAACCAATGTGTCTCTCACACATTGATGTTTGTGTGTGTGTGTGTGTGTGTGTGTGTGTGTGTGTGTGTCTCCCCTCTCTCTAAAAAAAATTCAATGGGAAAATATCCTTGGGTGAGGATTAACAAAAATAAAAATAAATAAATAAATAATAACTTTTAAAAAAGAGAAAGAAAATACTTCTCCTAAAAATCATAGGGGAAAAAAGAAGAGGGAGAATAAGACAGAAGAACCCAGATACGTCTAGCTGTCTCGGGTTGGAGCATGAGTGTGGTCAGCTAAAGACCCTGCAGTAGAACTCTTGTGTTGGATGCCATGTTGCGCTATTTCCTTATCACACGCAGGTGACGAAAATACCTCTACCTGCATATCCACCCAACTGCATTTTATAAACATCAGGTGATGTATAAAGGCAAAACTTCCATTCTAACTTTGTAAAGTTCCATATAAATGAAGAAATCCTCATAGGTAATGTGTTTTGTTTTTCTAACGATGCGAAAGGGGCTTGGTGTGAAAACGACTGTGAATTTTACAAACCAGGAACCTTTTTTCCAGATCCAAACTTTTTTCTAATGTTCAAGTTTTCACTAACACGACGCCCATGGAAACGTCAGCTCCGATGTCACACCTGAAATGCTGCCATCGCCTTCTCGGTTTCAATGGTTGATTCAAGAAAAGGTTCAAAGATGGACAGGGTCATTATTCCATTTTCCAAAATTAAATATTGTTGAAAG